CAAGATATTTCCGCCAAGAGCTAGAGCGTTTAGACGAGGGGCTCCGGAAAGAAGACATGGCTGTGCATGTCCGTCGTGACCATGTGTTTGAAGACTCATATCGTGAGCTGCATCGCAAATCCCCCGAAGAAATGAAGAATCGATTGTAAGGGCCCTGGAACGGAGAAAAGATAGGGGGTGGGAGGTGGGGCCTCCTGCACAGTAGTGATGACTTGCTCTGGCCTCAAATTTAGGGAGGTGCTGCCCTCCATAATAGAAATTCCCCATGGGAATCTGGCTTTAGATAATCTTATTGAGCTGACTCCTGTCTCCTGGGCCTGCCCTGCTGGCTGGCCCTTTAGCTAAGCTATGCAACAATTCCCAGGCAGGAAAGTCTTTGGTATTTATAAGGATATACCTACTTGCTGAGCAAATGGCACCGTGAGTTGGGGGGAATCTGCCCTTGTATGAGTGGCCCCCACCAAACTGGTAACTGCTCACTGGTGATTCTTAAGCTACCCAGAAGATTAGCAGTTTATAATACCGAGAGTAGGAGCTGATGACATGAGAGACATTGGAGTTGTTTCCTGATTCCTCCCCGTCTCTTGTGGTGTGGACTTACCACCTGTGTAATCACAAGAAGTCAAGGAGCCTCCCTAGACAGACTGTGCGCCATGTTCTTCCACCACCAAATACCTTTAGAGAATAGGGACTCTGGGCTTCTCCCTCTCTAATACCACTTTTCTCCCCTCCCCACTTCACATAAGCAAGGCCTCATTTAGTCCTCTGGTACCTTTCCTATATTAGTGTTTTCTGAAATATCTGTGAGCCTTGACTAATATTTTCGGACATCTCTGTCAGTGGTGCTTTTGTTTGGTCCCAGATCTCCACTCCACTTCTGGGCTGTCTGTTCACCTTTTCATCTGACACTACTTTACAGTCACTCACTCATACAAATGACTAGGTTTGTCCTAGGTTTTCTGCACAGCTCTTTTCTACTTCTGCTTTCTTATGCAGGTATATAGTGTTTGAAGGAGAAGAAGGGCAGGATGCTGGCGGGCTCCTGCGGGAGTGGTATATGATCATCTCTCGAGAGATGTTTAACCCTATGTATGCCTTGTTCCGTACCTCACCTGGTGATCGAGTCACCTACACCATCAATCCATCTTCCCACTGCAACCCCAACCACCTCAGCTACTTCAAGTTTGTCGGACGCATTGTGGCCAAAGCTGTCTATGACAACCGTCTCCTAGAGTGCTACTTTACTCGATCCTTTTACAAACACATCTTGGGCAAGTCCGTCAGGTGAGGATAAGGCATCGTCCTGGGACTGTCCTCAGTCCTGGGAGTCTGGTCTTTTTGTGTCCCGTCGCTGTGCTGCCCTTCCCCCCACCTGCAAACCATGACCCTGTATAATTGTGTTTTTCTAGATACACAGATATGGAGAGTGAAGATTACCACTTCTACCAGGGGCTGGTTTATCTGCTGGAAAACGATGTCTCCACGCTAGGCTATGACCTCACCTTCAGCACTGAGGTAGGTTCAGGAAATCCTAACCACAGCACATTCCAAGCAGTCTAGAAGATCCATTCTAGTTTCAGCTTAGAACTAGCACTGCATGACCTTCTCATAGTTCTGAGGAAGCATCTTGACTTCTGAAAGCTGCAGCAGGTATTGTGACATAACAAACAGTAAAACCAGAATTTGTAAGACAATCCAGGCCATTTCCAAGTTCCACCTTCATTTTTTAAAAAATGCTCCAATACAGCTGGGCGCAGTGGCTCACGCCTATAATCCCAGCACTTTGGGAGGCCGAGGCGGGTAGATCACGAGGTCAAGAGATCGAGACCATCCTGGTCAACTAGGTGAAACCCCATCTCTACTAAAAATACAAAAATTAGCTGGGCACGGTGGTGCACGCCTGTAGTCCCAGCTACTCGGGAGGCTGAGGCAGGAGAATTGCTTGAACCCAGAAGGCAGAGGTTGCGGTGAGCCGAGATAGCACCATTGCACTCCAGCCTTGGTAACAAGAGCGAAACTCCATCTCAAAAAAAAAAAAAAAATGCTCTAATACATAATTTTTCATTCCAAAAGGAAGGTCTTTGTAGAAAAATGGTACAAATGTAAGTGGGGAGAAAATGAAGGTAATTAAGGTTGCTCTTCTCCCAAATTGTTTTCCTTAAAGATTACATTCAGTTATGTATGTTAGCCATTCCCTTTTCCCTTTTACCACTGACGGTTGCCTTACTCCCTCCTGCCTTCTTTGTGGGTCTCAGGGCCAAAGAGTAATTTCCCTCTTTTCTACCCAAAGCCTTTCCCTATCAGGGGAGTTGCGAGCTATGAGTAGTGAGAAGAGTCACTGTTTTGTATGGACTTGCCTCATCTCTCTGCCCAGGACATGGCAAGGGGTTTAGGGTGTGTTCCCAGGTATCTAATCCCATCCTAGACGAAGTTTATTATGTATGATGGATGTTTTGATTGTTCTAGGTTCAAGAGTTTGGAGTTTGTGAAGTTCGTGACCTCAAACCCAACGGGGCCAACATCTTGGTCACAGAGGAGAATAAGAAGGAGTATGTACACCTGGTATGCCAGATGAGAATGACAGGTAGGGGAAATGTTCCTTAGACCTCTTGCCCAATATGAGAAGAGGTCAGACTTCATTTATTTCAAAGGCATGTTTTGTTTTCCTTCACTATGACAGAGCCACAAATGCCTTGCACAAAAGGGAAAACACTTGATCAAAAATACTTAACTTTGGCCAGGCATGGTGGTTCACGCCTGTAATCCCAGCACTTTGGCAGGCCGAGGTGGGCAGATCAGTTGAATTCAGGAGTTTCAGACCAGCATGGCCAACATGGTGAAACCGTGTCTCTACTAAAATATAAAAATTAGCTGGGTGTGATGGCACACACCTGTAGTTCCAGCTACTCGGGAGTCTGAAACGGGAGAATTGCTTAAACCCAGAGGTGGAGGTTGCAATGAGCTGAGATGCCACTGCACTCCAGCCTGGGTGACAGAGTAAGACTCTGTCTTTAAAAAAAAAAAAACTTCACTGGGCACAGTGGCTCACACTTATAATCCTAGCACTTTGGGAGGCCAAGGCAGGAGGGTAGCTTGAGCCCAGGGGTTTAGGGGTTTGAGACTAGCCTGGGCAACGTAGCAAGACCCTGTCTCTACAAAAAAAAATTTTTTTTAATTAACCAGGCGTGGTGGTGCATGCCTGTAGTCCCAGCTAACAGTGGTAGATGATGTTAAAAGGAGCCAGATTGGGGATCTCTGACCTCTTAACATTTGTGTGAGTTTAAAAGGCATGTTGCTGGGCGCGGTGGCTCATGCCTATAATCCCAGCACTTTGGGAGGCCGAGGCGGGTGGATCACAAGGTCAAGAGATAGAGACCATCCTGGTCAACAAGGTGAAACCCCATCTGTACTAAAAATACAAAAATTAGCTGGGCACGGTGGCACCCGCCTGTAGTCCCAGCTACTCGGGAGGCTGAGGCAGGAGATTTGCTTGAACCCAGAAGGCGGAGGTTGCAGTGAGCCGAGATCGTGCCATTGCACTCCAGTCTGGGTAACAACAGCGAAACTCCGTCTCAAAAAAATAAATAAATAAATAAAAGGCATGTGGCTTTTTGGTTATTTCACCAGGAGCCATCCGCAAGCAGCTGGCAGCTTTCTTAGAAGGCTTCTATGAGATCATTCCAAAGCGCCTCATTTCCATCTTCACTGAGCAGGAGTTAGAGCTGCTCATATCAGGACTGCCCACCATTGACATCGATGATCTGAAATCCAACACTGAATACCACAAATACCAGTCCAACTCTATTCAGGTGAGCTGCTGCTGGCATCCCTCCTCATGTGGTCCTTTTACCAATGCTAGTTCGTGTGATACCAAATAAACCAGTAGTACTCTTAGAGGAAGGTGCTTGTAAAAAACAGTCTACTTATATCTAACTCTTCATTCTCCTGGAGCGTATCAGACTTCTCTTGCCCATCTTATGAATAAAAGGAACTATAGCTCATCCCACAAAAGGGACTTGCCTCAGATACCAAGTCTAGCCCTGTTTTCCAAATTCCATCCCCCTACCCTGCTTCTAGGAGCTTCTACCTAACTGGCTTCATGGGTCCCTTCCTACAGATCCAGTGGTTCTGGAGAGCATTGCGTTCTTTCGACCAAGCTGACCGTGCCAAGTTCCTCCAGTTTGTCACGGGTACTTCCAAGGTACCCCTGCAAGGCTTTGCTGCCCTCGAAGGCATGAATGGCATTCAGAAGTTTCAGATCCATCGAGATGACAGGTCCACAGATCGCCTGCCTTCAGCTCACACATGGTAAAAGAAAGGGTTTGGTTCTCCTTTTCTGTACTTAGATTGAGCTTGCATACTTGATGTTTTTAGGACCCTACCCAAGACTGGGAACGCAAATGTGGCTGAGTCCTGGACCTTGGGTAACTCACAATTTGGTGTTTCTATGGAGGTGATGTCTGAGATGAGAAGGGCTAGAGAGACACTGGCAGGTGAACAGCACAAGAGAGCGCGGTGCAGTCCAGGGCCCACTGCGCCTGGAACAAGGAGGAGTTGCAGGGAGCAGAGGTCTAAAGAGCTCAGCAGAGGTCCAGTTACCAGTGACTCTGAAAACCTCCTTCAAGCTTTCACTTTAGCCTGTGAGCGAGTGAGGCCAGGGTGTTGAAGGAAGAGTGACAGGCTCAGATTTTTTTGTTTTGGTACGTGATGGCCAGTTTGGGAGCCAGATAAAGGAGGGCAGATTGGGCTTGAGACAAGATTGGCAGGGAGTCGGCTCCTTCAGGGAGGTGAGGGGAGGGGCCGGTGGGCACCATAGAAACACAGGGATTTGGTCTCTGTCATCCCTCACCACAAACTGATCTTTCTTTCCATAGTTTTAATCAACTGGATCTGCCTGCCTATGAGAGCTTTGAGAAGCTCCGTCACATGCTACTGTTGGCCATCCAGGAGTGCTCTGAAGGCTTTGGGCTGGCCTAATAAGGCCCTGCCCACCTCTGTGGGGTTTTTCTACCATTGTTGGACCTGGGGAGGGGGGAGTTTAAAAAAAGAACCAGAAAGGAATTGTCGAAAACCAATAAATGAAATCCACCAACTCACCATGTGTGTGTCCCAGCTGCCCCATCTTCCCCAGCGCATACCTGTTCCTCTTCTCATTCTCTCCCCACCGCCTGTCCTCACCTCCTCTCCCCTTTCCATGCCGTCCATGATCCCCACTCCATGTGTTAAAAAGGCAGTAGCCTTTGCAGGGACCTGTCTGTCCCAACTGTTTGAACAGTGTGCTCCTCAGATTCTGTGTTCAGAAGGATTTGCTGCATTGAGACTTGAAACCTTTGGATAGGGGAAAAAATTATATATATATATATTTTTTTGTTCTGTTTGCATTTCTTAATTTGTGCTTGGAATGTGTTGATGTGCACAGCTAATGATTCAATGCGAGACAAGATTGGCGTCTGTGTTGTGGAGGTTTCAAATAAAGAGCACTCTTCATAACTCAGTTTTCACAATGGAGTTTTTTTCGAACTTAAAAAAAAAACTCTTAAGCACATGTTAGGCATCTGGAGAAAAGATCCAAATGGTTTCTCCAGGAAACCATCCCTGCCGGACCCGCTTGCCCACCTGCCTCCACCACTGGTGCACCTTCCTCCTTCAGAGTCAGTTTCTGCAGTCAGGAGAGTTTGGCAGTCACCAGGAATTGGGGGTGGGAGGTATCTTTTTTAGAACGGGAGCTGCACTTGGGGACGGTGATGGTGTTAGAGGCTGCACACAGGACAAAGCATCACCTTGCCCAAGGGGAACAAACTGCAGCAGGTTGTACAAAACATTCAGAGAGCTCACTTGACCCAACTGAAGGTTTTACTTGGTGAGCCTTTCTAGTAGTCTTAAGTCTGGGGCTCAGTTTCAGATTTTTATTTCGTTAATGTTTGTTTATTTCTAACATTTTAATAAGCAAGTAATTTGACTAGCTCACCAGGAGACCATACTTTTTGTCTATTTTTGTTGTCATTCCCTCTTGTCATCTGTCTGCCAGTCTGTTCACAGATCACCTTGTAGTCGCTTATGGTTTTTACTCCATCCAGTGCTTAAAGCTGATCTAAGGACTTCAATGGTTTCAGCCTTCAAAGAAAAAAATAATTTAATAAAAGTTTAGTTAGAAAAAATAACCCCAAGTGGTGCTTGCTTTGTGTGGTTTTTCTCATTCCCTGAAGCGCTACCTCTGAACCTGATTTCCCCTTGACCTTGTCCCAAAGTGTGGGTCTAGGAAAGCAAGGGTGTCTTTAACCTGATCCCCTGGTCCTGGAGCCAAGGCTGCTAGCCATTTCCCCCTTCACAGCGTTCCCACTCTTCTGTGCCTGTCCCTGCTTTAGCGACTGAGAAAGCAGAGGAATTTCCCCATCCCTGTTACTGAGCTGCTAGTAGAAGGGTGAAGACAATGATTAGTTCTGTGACAGATGAAGAAAGGGGTCACCACGCACAAAGCTGAAGTGCCTGACCTAGCCTGGAGAGTCAGGGAAAGCTTTCCATCGTCAGTGCACTTGGATTGGAGCCTAAAGCTGTGTAGGAGTTGAGGTTATGAAGGAAGGGGTCATAGAATTCCGGGCAGCAGGAGTTTCGTTGCTGAGAGTCCAGTGGGATACAAGATAGACCAGGTGGCTCACACCTGCAGTCTCAGCACTTCGGTAGAGGCCTAGGTGGGTGGATCATCTGAGGTCAGGTGTTTTGAGACCAGCCTGGCCAAAATGGCAAATCCCTGTCTCTACTGAAAATACAAAAATTAGCCAGGCATGATGGCAGAAGCCTGCAGTCCCAGTTCCTGGCGGTGGCTTACTCCTGTAATGTCAGCACTTTGGGAGAAGGAGGTAGGAGAATCATTTGAAGCCAGTGAGCCGAAATCGTGTCTGTACTCCAGCCTGGGCGACAGAGTGAGACTCAGTCTCAAACAAAAAAAGTGGAAGCAATAAGCAGAAAGAGTAGAATTTGTCAATAAGCAGTAAGATTAACTGGTTCTTTGAAATGAAGTTCTGGCAGGTAATTTAAATTTGAAAGTAAAGGGGGTTCCTGGGTTGGAGGTTGTGGGGGTTGGATGTGGAAGCTGGGAGTACAGATGGAATAATCCTGGGGGAAATGGAAGCAAATATTCAGTGGCATGCCTACAAAAATAGAACATGATCAAGTATGATTTGCCTCTGGGATATGTGTAGTGTGATATTCATCACCTCATTGTCAAATGAGAAACTTTTGTCCTTAGATGGCCACGCATTTGTTCACATTCAATAACCATTCCTGGCAACATTTAAAGGTATAAGATCCTACCTTAATAAGGTAGTTTCAGACCAACAGCCAATATCACACTTGAAAGTTAAGGTGGTCAATTATCACCATTAGTGCTGTTCTGCAGTTTACTATTTCAGTAAAACAGGAAACAAAAGGTGTAACTGTTGAAGAGAAACGATTTGCTGGCAAAGAATCAAGTTATGGAAGGGGACATGGTTGCTCACGCTTGTAATCCCAAGGGTTTCAGAGGCCAACGTGGGAGGATTGCTTGAGCTCAGGAATTCAAAACCAGTCTGGGCGGTCTTGTTAGATAAAAATCATAGGAGGCCATTGGTTTGAAGTAACCTCCTGCCCTAGGCCCCAACAGACCAAACGAAATCAAAATGGAGTCACCTGTACTAAAGTTCCACTTCACCAAACCTAAACTAAGTTATTAGCTGACCTTCCATAAATCAGAAGAGAAAGATAACATCCAGTTTCCCTAACAGGTCAGTTTAAGTCTTCAGTCGACCTGATAATAAAGCTCCCTCTGCTTTAATCCTTACACAAAAAAGCATGCAGTTACCTGATGATAACTACAATTGACCCTTGAACAACATGGGGGATAGGGGCACTGACCATACATCTGTGCCATTGAAAATCCATGTATGACTTTGGACTCCCCAAAAATTCAAATACTAGCCAGGCGCAGTTGGCTCACACCTGTCATCCCAACACTTTGAGAGGCCAAAGTGGGAGAATCACTTGAGCCCAGGAGTTCAAGACCAGCCTGGGTAATACAGTGAGACCATGTCTTTACAGAAAATACAATTAAAAAAAAAACTGGCCAGGTTCAGTGGCTCACGCCTGTAATCCCAGCACTTTGGGAAGCCGAGGCAGGTGGATCACCTGAGGTCGGGAATTTGAGAACAGCCTGACCAACACGGAGAAACCCCGTCTCTACTAAAAATACAAAAAATTAGCCAGGCGTGGTGGTGCATGCCTGTAATTCCAGCTACTTGGGAGGCTGAGGCAGGAGAATCACTTCAACCTAAGAGGTGCAGGTTGCAGTGAGCCAAGATCATGCCATTGCACTCCAGCCTGGGCAACAAGAGCAAAACTCTGTCTTTAAAAAAAAAGTCTCATCTGAGACAAAAAAAGTCCCTTTCACTTATGAGCCTGTAAAATCAAAAGTTATTTTCAAGATACAATGGGGGTATAGGCATTGGGTAAGTGTTCCCATTTCAAGTGGAAGAAATTGGCCAAAACAAAGGGGCTACAGGTTTCACAGAAGTCTGAAATCCAAATGATCTCCTTTGACTCCATGTCTCACATCCAGGCAACACTGATGCAAGGGGTGGGCTCCCAAGGCTTTGGGCAGCTCCTCCCCTGTCGCTTTGCAAGGTACAGCCCCCATGGCTGCTTTCACAGGCTGGCATTGAGTGTCTGTAGCTTTGCCGGGTGCACAGGGCAAGCTGTCCATGGATCTACCATTCTGGGGTCTAGAGGACAATGGCCTTCTCACAGCTTCACTAGGCAGTGTCCCAGTGTGGGGGGCTCCACATGGGGGCTCCAACCCCACATTTCCCCTCTCCATTGCCCTAGTAGAGGTTCTCCATGAGGGCTCTGCCCCCTGAGCAAACTTCTGCTTGGACATCCAGGTGTCTCCATACATCCTCTGAAATCTAGGTGGAGGTTCTGAAACTCAACTCCTTTTTTTTTTTTAAAAGCCAGTCAAATTTAGCAGTGGGGGGTTGTATGCCAACTTTAGTGACATTAATGTTAATAAGTTCTGATAACCCACTACCGTCAGACCAGCCCTTTTTTTTTTGAGATGGAGTCTCGCTGTCACCCAGGCTGGAGTGCAATGGTGCGATCTCAGCTCGTTGCAATCTCCACCCCCAGGGTTCAAGCAATTCTCATGCCTCAGCCTCCAGAGTAGCTGGGATTATAGGTGAATGCCATCATGCCTGGCTAATTTTTTTGTATTTTTAATAGAGACAGGGTTTCACCATGTTGGTCAGACTGGTCTTAAACTCCTGACCTCACCCTCCCAAAGTGCTGGGATCACAGGCATGAACCACCATGCCCCGCCTCGAACCTCAACTCTTGTCTTCTGTACACCTGTAGGCCTGACCCCACATGGAAGCTGCCAAGTCTTGGGGCTTGCACCCTCTGAAGCAAAGGTCGGGGCAGTACCTTGGCCCGTTTTAGCCACAGTGGAGCTGGAGAGGCTGGGACACAGGGCACCAAGTACTGAGGCTGCACAGAGCATCAGGGCCCTGGGGCCCACAAAACCATTTTTCCCTAAAAGGCCTGTGGGCCTGTGATGGGAAGGGCTGTTGTGAAGACATGCCCCGGAGATATTTTCCCCATTGTCTTGGTGATTAACATTGGGCTCCTCTTCACTTTTGCAAATTTCTTTTTTTTTTTTTTTTTTTTGAGATGGAGTCTTGCTCTGTCACCCAGGCTGGAGTGCCGTGGTGCAATCTCGGCTCACTGCAACCTCTGCCTCCTGGGTTCAAGCAATTCTCTGGCCTCAGCCTCCCAAGTAGCTGGGACTACAGGCGGGAGCCACCACACCCAGCTAATTTTTTGCATTTTTAGTAGAGGCAGAGTTTCATCGTGTTAGCCAGGATGGTCTTGATCTCCTGACCTTGTGATCCACCTGCCTCAACCTCCCAAAGTGTTGGAATTACAGGCGTGAGCCACCGCGCCTGGCCTCACTTTTGCAAATTTCTGCAACCAGTTTGAATTTCTCCCCAGAAAATGGGTTTTTCTTTTTTACCTCATGGTCAGGCTGCAAATTTTCCAAACTGATATGCTCTGTTTCCCTTTTAAATAAAAAAGTTTCAGTTTCAGATAATCTCTTTGTGAACTCATATGACTGAACAGGTTCAGAATCAACCAGGTCACCTCTTGAATGCTTTGCTTCTTAGAAATTTCTTCCACCATACCCTAAATCATCTCTCTTGAGTTCAATGTTCCACAGATCTCTAGGGCAGAGGCAAAATGCCACCAGTCTCTGCTAAAGCATAGCAAGAGTGACCTTTGTTCCAGTGCCCAATAAGTTCATCATCTCCATCTGAGACCACCTCAGCCTGGATGGACTCCATTGTCCATATCACTATCAGCATTTTGGTCAAAACCATTCAACAAGTCTCTAGGAAGTTCCAAACTTGGCCAGGCAGGCGCGGTGGCTCACGACTGTAATCCCAGCACTTTGGGAGGCCAAGGTGGGTGGGTCACAAGGTCAGAAGTGCAAGACCAGCTGGCCAACATGGTGAAACCCTGTCTGTACTAAAAATACAAATATTAGCCAACCGTGGTAGTGGGCGCCTGTAATCCCAGCTACCTGGGAGGCTGAGGCAGGAGAATTGCTTAAACCTGGGAGTCGGAGGTTGCAGTGAGCTGAGATCTCACCACTGCATTCCAGTCTAGGTGACAAAGCAGGACTCCAGCACAAAAAAAAAGAAAGGAAGTTCCAAATTTTCCCACATCTTCTTGTCTTTTTCTGAGCCCTCCAAACTGTTCCAACCACCTCTGCCTGTTACCCACTTCCAAAGTCACTTCCACATTTTCAGATTATCTTTATAGCAGTGCCTGACTCTGCCAGAACCAATTGTCTGTATTAGTCCATTTCACACTGTTATAAAGAGCTGCCTGAGATTGGGTGATTTATAAAGGAAAAAGGTTTAATTGATTCGCAGTTCCGCATGGCTTGGGAGGCCTCAGGAAACTTACAATTATGGCAGAAGGTGAAGGGGAAGCAGGCACAGTCTTCACAAGGTGGTAGGAGAGAGAGTAAGAGAGAGGAGAGCTCAGAGGAAACTACCACTTTTAAACCATCAGATCTTGTGAGAACTCCCTCATTATCACGAGAATAGCATGGGGGAAACCACCCCCATGATCCAACCACCACGCACCAGGTCCCTCTCTTGACACAGTCAGTTCACCCATTTAGTATGTTATATGTAACATACACTGTATTCATACAATAAAGTAAGCTAAAGAAAATAAAACATTATGAAAATCATAAGGAAGAGAAAAGATATTTACTGTTCATTAAGTGGAAGTGGACCATCATAAAGGTCTTCATCCTCAATCTTTGTCGTTGAGTAGGCTGAAGAGGAAGAGGAGGGATTGATCTTGCTGTCTCAGGGATGGCAGAGGCAGAAGAGCTGGAGAAGGTGAACAAGGCAAAAGAGGCAGGCACACTGGTGTAATTATGGAAATACATTGTAATTTCTGTCTGACTTTTGCTTTTTCATGCCTCTAAAAATGTTTCTATATGGTACCAATCTTTTTTTTTTTTTTGAGATGGAGTTTCGCTCTTGTTACCCAGACAGGAGTGCAATGGTGCGATCACGGCTCACCGCAGCCTCCGCCTTCTGGGTTTAAGCAATTCTGCCTCAGCCTCCCGAGTAGCTGGGACTACAGGCACGCGCCACCATGCCCAGCTAATTTTTGTATTTTTAGTAGAGACGGGGTTTCACCATATTGACCAGGATGGTCTCAATCTCTTGACCTCGTGATCCACCCGCCTTGGCCTCCCAAAGTGCTGGGATTATAGGCGTGAGCCACCGCGCCCAGCCGGATGTTGCTGTTTTTTTAAGACAAAGTCTCAATCTGTTGCCCAGGCTGGAGTGCAGTGGTGCAATATCGGCTCACTGCAACCTCCACCTCCCAGGTTCAAGTAATTCTCCTGCCTCAGCCTCCTCAAGTAGCTGGGATTACAGGCACGTGCCGCCATGCTCAGCTAATTTTTGTATATTTTTAGTAAAGACAAGGTTTCACCAGTTGGCCAGGCTGGTCTTGAACTCCCAACCTCAAATGATCCGCCCGCCTCGGCCTCCCAAAATGCTGGGATTACAAGCATGAGCCACCACGCCCAGCTTGTTTGTTTGTTTGTTTTTTGTCACAAATCTCCAAAAACTTTTACTATATATTTTTTGGAAAAGGTCTGCATATAAGTGGACCCACACAGTTCAAATCTATGTTGTTCAAGAGTCAGCTTAAATCAGTTATCTTTCTGTTGTTTTGTCTCCCTGTCTCCCCTTTACAAAACAGTAGCTTTGAAAAGACTAGGCTGGATGTGGTGACTCATGCGTGTAATCCCAACAGTTTAAGAGGCCGAGGTGGGCAGATCACTAGGTCAAGAGATCAAGACCATCTTGGCCAACATGGTGAAATCCCGTCTCTACTAAAAATAAAAATTAGCCAGGCGTGGTGGCACGTGCCTGCAGTCCCAGCTACTCAGGAGGCTGAGGCAGGAGAATCGCTTGAACCTGGGAGGCGGAGGTTGCAGTGAGCCGAGGTCATTCCACTGCACTCCAGCCTGGCGACAGAGTGACACTCCATCTCAAAAAGAAAAGACTAATGCGCTCTTTATTCTTTGCTTCCACTTTCTTCAGCCTCTCTCTGTCTATGAAGCCAACCTCTTCAACTTAGCTCACTGGAATACTTACTCAATTTTATGCAGTGATATGTGGCCTGGTTCTAGAATCGTGAATAAAGACAACTGAAATATTTAAACTACATGTGTTGTAATTTGTCATCTGACTCTTATATTACAGATGAGGAAAGCATTTTTCTTTTTCACAAAAGCATTTTTAACCACGGACAAAAAAAAAGAAGTATTAACTGATTGTAGGGACCAAGAGAAAACTTCTCCTTCACTCTCTGAAGATTCACTGAAAATCAACTGGCAAAAGGTAGTTTAATAGAAGAAAAGGCATACAAAATGTATTAATGTGAACACGTGCATGAGTGATATAATTTGATTCTGAGTTCCCACCCAAAAGTCATGTCAAATTGTAATTCCCACAAGTCAGGGGAGGGGCCTGGTGGGAGGTGATTGGATCATGGGGGCAGATTTCCCCCTTGCCAGTGAGTAAGTTCTCACAAGATCTGATGGTTTAAAAGTATGGCACTCCCCCTTTTCCCTCTCTCTCTCTCCTGCTTCAGCATGGTAAGGAGTGCTTGCTTCCCCTCCACCTTCCACCATCATCGTAAGTTTCCTGAGGCCTCCCCGGCCATGTAGCACTGAGAGTCAATTAAACCTCTTTCCTGCCAGGTGAAGTTGCTCATGCCAGTAATTCCAGCACTCTGAAAAGCCAAGGAAGGCAGATCGCCTGAGGTCAGGAGTTCAAGACCAGCCTGGCCAACATGGTAAAACCCCATCTCTACTAAATTACAAAATTTAGCCAGGCGTGATGGCAGGTGCCTATAATCCCAGCCACTTAGGAGGCTGAGGCAGGAGACGCGCCTGAACCTGGGAGGCTGAGGTTGTAGTGAGCTGAGATTACGCCATTGCATTCCAGCCTGGGTGACAAGAGTGGGACTTTGTCTCAAAAAAAAACAAAACAAAACTTTTCTTTATAATTACCCAGTCTCCGGTCGTTTTTTATAGCAATGTGAGAACAAACTAATACAATCGGAGCCATACAAAATATGAAAACTTAAAGAAAGAACCAGAAGATTGACGTTTTATACCGTCTGGAGGTTATAGAAATAATAGAGGAGCATAGCAAGACTGGTTATGGGAGGGAGAGAAGAGGAAAGGCCTAGCTAGCAAAGGCAGTCTTGTTATGCAGAAGAAACCTCACTCGGCTGGGTGCAGTGGCTCACGCCTGTAATCACTTTGGGAGGCCAAGGTGGGCGGGTCATCTGAGGTCAGGAGTTTTAGTCCAGCCAGGCCAATATGGTGAAACCCCGTCTCTACTAAAAATACAAAAAAATTAGCTGGGGGTGGTGGCGGGAGCCTGTAATCCCAGCTACTGAGGAGACTGAGGCAGGAGAATCGCTTGAACCTGGGAGCTGGAGGCTGCAGTGAGCTGAAATTGCGCCATTGCACTCCAGCCTGGTCAACGAGAGCAAAACTCCATCTCAAAAAAAAAAAAAGAAAAAGAAAGAAAGAAAAGAAAAAGAAACATAACTGGTAGCAGCCTTCAGAATACGTTTCTGTCGGACCCCATAGGTGTCAGACTCTCAGTCTCTCTCTCCCACGAGCCAATCCTTGCTAGATCCGAACAAGAGGGCGGGGATGAAGAAAGCCCGGCTCTTTATTTCATCAATGCAGATTTTGTCTACAGATGCAAATGTCCTCCACAAAAGGCAATTTGCAGGGCTATTTCTGTCTGCAGGCCCTCTGAATAGCCATCTCAAAATATGTCAAAGAAGTATATTTTGGGGTGCAATATTTTTGGTTTTCTCTAGTCCCCCATTTGAAACTTTATTTTCAGAAAGTTTCACATACTAAAGTAGAATCGTTAACTATGGAGAGATTTGGGTTAGACGTTTTGAGATAAGAAATAGGCACCGGGGGAGAAAACATAGATTGGAACAAGCAGAAAAAAATTTGCGTGCACTGTTCTGTATCTTTTTTTATTCTTTATTTTTATGTTAAAAAATTGTTTTTGTAGAGACAAGGTTTCACTATACTGCCCAGGCTCCTCTAGTACTCCTGGCCTCAAGTGATCCTACCACCTCAGGCCGCCCAAAACGCTGGGATTACAGGCGTGAGCCACCACTGTCAGCCCCATATCTTCTTGAATCAGGCTTTTAGACCTGAGAATAGGTCCATTCAGGGTTGGTTGGTTGTCTGTTTTAGGGATAGTCTTGCTCTGTCACCTAGGCTGGAGTACAGTGGCATGATCATAGCTCACTGCAGCCTCAGACTCTGAATTCAAGGGATCCTCCTGCCTCAGCCTCACATGTAGCTAGGATTACAGGTGTGCGCCACCATGCCATGTTAATTCATTTTTTACTTTTTGTAGAGATGGAGTCTGTGTTGCCCATGCTGGTCTCAAACTCCTGGCCTCAAGCAATCCTCCTCCCTCAGCCTCCCAAAATGCTGGGATTACAGGTGTGAACCACTGTGCCCAGCCTGTTCAGTTAAATAGTTGTGTCTCATTTCAGGAGATGGTGTTGCAGAGGTTGGCAGGATGGTACCACATGATACACATCATAAAGACCCTGCTGATAAAACAGGATGCAGGCTGGGCATGGTGGCTCACGCCTGTAATCCCAGCACTTTGGGAGGCTGAGGTGGGTGGATCACTTGCGGTCAGGAGTTCGAAACCAGGCTGTCCAACATGGTGAAACCCTGTCTCTATTAATATTTATATATATATATAAAATAAAAAAATTAAATTAAACAAAAAAACAGGATGCAGTAAAGAAGCCGGGCAAACCCCACCAAATCCAAGATGGTGACAAAAGCGACCTCTGGGCATCCTCACTGATTATATGTTAATTATAATACATTAGCATGCTAAAAGACACTGCCACCAGCACCATGACAGCACCACATCCCAGCTACTCAGGCGGCTGAGGCAGGAGAATTGCTTGAACCTGAGTGTCAAAAGTTACAGTGAACCAAGATCACGCCACTGCACTCCAGCCTGGGTGACAAGGAGACTCCATCTCTTTTCTTTTTTTTTTTTTGAGACAGAGTTTCGCTCTTGTTACCCAGGCTGGAGTGCAATGGCGCGATCTCGGCTCACCGCAACCTCCGCCTCCTGGGTTCAGGCAGTTCTCCTGCCTCAGCCTCCTGAGTAGCTGGGATTACAGGCATGCGCCACCATGTCCAGCTAATTTTTTGTATTTTTAGTAGAGGCGGGGTTTCACCAGGTTGACCAGGATGGTCTCGATCTCTTGACCTCGTGATCCACCCACCTCGGCCTCCCAAAGTGCTGGGATTACAGGCATGAGCCACCGCGCTTGGCCCAGGAGACTCCATTTCAAAAAAAAAAATGCTCCATCAGTTAAGTCCCATGTCATTAATTCTTATTGTACTTATTGCTGCATTAGCAGTTTTATAAGCCCAGTTTTTTTCATTGGAGTTTTTGAAATTTTTATCCAGTACTATTGAATAATATGAAAGTCATCACCGGAGGAGGTCTATATTTCAGTGTCTTTATTTCAGAGTACTCATCAGATAGTTTTTTTTTTTTTTGAGATGGAGTCTTGCTCTGTTACCCAGGCTGGAGTGCAGTGGCAGGATCTTGGCCCACTGCAACCTCTGCCTCCTGGGTTCAAGCAATTTTCCTGCCTCAGCCTCCTGAGTAGCTGGGATTACAGGCATGCGCCACCATGCCCAGATAATTTTTGTATTTTTAGTAGAGATGGGGTTTCAGCATGTTGGCCAGGCTGGTCTAGAACTCCTGACTTCGTGATC